GTTGATAATACCAGCATCTAAAGGTTGCAAGTGAGAAGTTGTATTTGGAGGAAGAAAATGTACTTTAATATTCGATAATTGTATAGTTTCATCAATTAAATGTGTGGGTGCATTATCCGCTAATAATAAAATATTGCGATTTTGTCGTCTCATTAATTGATTAAGTTTATTAAGATAATCACGCCATACTGATACTTGCATCCAAGCTGTACGGTTCCAATAATACCAAACGGGTAAATCATCCTTTTTAATTCCCTTTAAAACACGCGGAGTCTGCCACTTGTGTATTACTAATGCAGGTAACTTATGACTACCATCAGCATTACAGGTTAAAACAATTGTAATCCGATTTTTTGATTTTTTAGTGCCAGAAATATAATGATCTGAAAGTGTCTTGGATGGTTCTAAATTCCAAAATAAAGCTAAAAAATACAAAATTATTACAATTAATAATGATAATAATAATGATATTTTGTGTAACTCCAATTGTATTTACCTGTTTCATCAACATTATAGACGTTACGAAGATCATATTGTTCAATAATTTCTTGCAAAGCCACACGTTCTTCTTCTAATGTTTCTAATGGTGCACTGTTCGCTTCACCAGCTTTAATAAATTGTTTTATATTATAACGCTTTTTAAACTTTGATAACCACCCATCTGAAGCAGTAAAAGTTGTTGTTTGTAATTGAGTCGCAAAATTTAAAGCTTTAGCCTTTAATATGTCACCTGTAATTGTTAAATTTGAAGCTAATGCTTGCTGCATCCATAAATATAATACAGATTCAATTTCTGGAAATTTTGCACCTCTATCCCTTTTTTGATTACTTAATTCTTTATTTGCAATATCAATACACAGCCATTTTTCCTTTTCTTTTAGTATTCTAGAAACTTGCGGTTTTGATATATCATATTTTTTAGTAAGATCATTTTGATTATATGATGGATTATCCCTTTTCCACTCACATAATTCTTTTTTTTGCACAAACGACAAACTTTTTCTTTTACTAGCTTTTTTTACTTCTTTTCCTTTGCCTTTTCCAACGGGTGGCATTTTCAAGAACAACGAAAAAAAGTTGTATCACAATAATAGGCGTTTATCATTAAAAAAAAAGGAAATTAAACTAACTACATGTGTTTAAAAATGATTCGCAAATGCAAATCTAATGATTTCACGTGATATTTACTATAACGAGAATATATTTATAATATACGTTCTATAGTAAAATTCTAAAAAAGTTTACTATATCTAATATCGAGATTTTATTAGTAAGTTTACTATAACGAACAAGATTTATTAGTAAGTGAACCGGGGGAATAAAAAAAGTTTATTATAAGCCAAATTTACTATAACGAGCTTTACTATAATGAGTGTTGACTGTATATCACATAATATGTACCTATTATGATCCACTTTTATTTAATAAATTATTGAGATATTAAATTTTGTTCATGGAAATAATTATAGAAAAAGAATTTAAATTTATTTTTATTTAGTAAATTATTGAAAAATTAATTTTATTTATAAAGATATTTATTGAAAAGAATTATAGTTCAAAGATTAGATAAAAATTAACTGAAGTTTATAAATATCTATTGAAAGATCATGTTTAATATTAACTCAGTAATATTTAGTTTAGAAATTTATTTTTCAAAATAAGTAAAAATATGGCAGATTTTTATTATATTAAACCAAGCAAGAATTATTGAAGATGCATTAGATCTAAATTGTAAATATTTGTTGTGATTGCATAAGTATACTTTTTATTGCATATTGTGTAGCAAAATTTAAAAAAATTAATAGTTGCAGTTTCGTTTAACTAATTATTTAGCAGTTAGATTAGATAAATTATTATTAAAAATATATTATTAATAAATTAAAATATAATATTATTATTTACAATACATTCTACTTATATTGCAAGAAGCTTTGCAGTTAATTTTAAATTAACTTCATAAGTAACATTATGTGGTTTTGAATATTTTCTGAAATCTGCTGGCTAACTAATAACTTTCACTTTAGGTTTAATTTTAGAACAGATAACTGGTTATAGAATTTAATAATTTATTTGATGTAATATTTGGCCAAACTTTTATCCAATATTATAAAACTAATCGATATTAATTTATTTTTAAACAACTCATAAAGATACTTAATTTCACTGGTCAAAAACTAATATATTAGGTAGCAGATATGTACCTAATATGTGTAGTATTAATGCTGAAAATCGGGTACCTGATATGTGTAAGATATGTGTAAATATATATATCATATACATATCAGATACCGATATGTATATGATATGTAAATGATATGTAGACGATATATATATTTACACATATCTTACACATGTCGGGTATCCGATTTTCAGCATTAATACTACACATATCAGGTACATATCTGATACATATCTGCTACCCGATATATTAGTTTTTGACCAGTATTTCACTTTCAACTATTTTTATACACTTTAAAAGAAGAAGGATAGAAATAAAGTCATTTTTTTGTGAAGATAATTTTCTTTTATTTTTTTCCATTTTACATTTTTTATTTCTTTTTTTAGTATATTTATTAGATTTTATTATATTATGTATTTTTAGAACTTACTTAAGGAGTTTAGAAATTGCTTTTGATTTAAAAAAGCTATTAGTATCTAGTTTTTCTATTTATACATCTGGATATTTAATAGTAAATAATAAGTTTTATTTCAATATACAATCCTTTCACAATAAATAGGGTCTTTTCAATTACAACTTTAGAGATTATTTGTAAATATAAGATCTTCTTCTTTAATAGCTGATTGGTTTTAATTTAATTGTGTATTTATCAGATTTTATAACTTAATTAGAGAAAGTTGTCTGAAACCTGTTCTCTTTAGAAGTTTAGAGGAAAGACAATTTAGATTGATTACAATTTTCTTTTTTTTATCAATTATAAAAATCTTTTTTTTCTTTTTAATACTTTATGTAAAAAGATGGGTATTTGACATTAAAATAAACTATTACAAATGAACTTTACCCTTTTAGCAAAAACTCTATCTGACAATGATTATATGTAGTGCTTTTTGCATGACAAGTGGTTTTGAAGTTAATGGTATTAGATATTAGTTTGAAGTTTTATTTTATTTTTGTATTTTGGCTTTATCAATTTATTTAATAAACTTTCAAATACATTGCAATAAAAAAAAAATTAATATTTTTTGAATTTAGAAAATTTTTTTAATTTTTCTTATTAATATTTTTAAAATGCAAATTTTTCCTTTTAATTATTTTTGAATTTTCAAATCAAATTATTATTTTATATAAAAACTTTGTAAATATATTATATATATAATAAGTAATTTTAGTAAATCTGCTTTACAATTTTTTTAATATATTTTCAAACTTTAATTATAACTTTTATTTTTACTTTTTATAATTTTTATTCTAAACTTATATAAATAATATGGATATTTGAGATTCTTTTTTTTATCTAAATATAAAAGGTAAAAAATATTGTTGTATTTTTTATTTTATATTTAAAGATTCTTTATTATTAATAATAAATAGTAGATAAGTTAATTATTAATATAAAAAAAAATGAACTATATAACTTCAAAAAGTTTTTCATTTCTAATTAAAAGATATTTACTTTTTTTTGAAATATTATTTCAATATTTATTAAAAGTTTATGTTACTTCTTTTAGTATAACTGATATTATTCTACTAAAATACCTTATATTTCTATTTATTTCTATATTATTATTCTATATAGATAAAATCATAAAAATATTAAAAAACTAGATTATAAAAATAAGTATTAAAAATAAAAAATGATAATTTATTTTGAAATATTAGGTAATAATTAATAAAAAGAAATTATAACAGTAATAGATTTTAATAAAAATATAATTTTTAAAGTTTTATGTATTTTAGTTTTTAGGTTATACTTTTAATTATTCAAAAGAATTAATAGTATTTCATTTTTATCTTAAAAGATAATATCAATTAAAAATTAAATTTTCTATTAACCTAGTTATTGATAATTAATTACTAATAGTAAGGTACTACATATAGTAATTTTATTATTAATTAAATTACTAAAAATAATCTTTATTATTAGTTCTTAATTATAAACTTTTGATACAATATTTAGATTACTAATTCTGACTTTTAACAATTAAGATATAATATTTATATGAATAAATATGACTTATAATACTCTTATAATATTTTATTCTTTATTTTAAAATTGTTCTTATTACTAAAATCATATCACTATTCTTATTATTGGTACATTATTATATTACTAATTCTTGGCATTATATTATTAAATCTTTTATATTGTTTATAATGGATTTATTTTAAACAATACTAACTTATTAAATAATAAAAATTATTATTAATATAATTCCTATTATTTATATAATTTTTCATTTTTTCATAATATTTTTTTTTTCTTTTAACTAAAAGATTATTTCTATTATTTTAAATTATTTTAGTTTCTTTAAAAATTGTTTATATAAAAATATGCTATAATTACTAATATCTTTTTTTTTTAATAATAAACAATTAAAATTCCATAATTTTAAAGGAAAAACTCCTTTGATTAAATCTATAAATATTAATATTGCTTTATTTAATTATTAATTATTATTATTTTTTTTATTGAGTAAATGTTTATATCAAATTGTAAAAAAAAAAGACAAATAAAAAGTCATTGATTATAACTCTTTTATAAAAATTCCAATATACCTGTTACAACACATGTAAATCATTTCTTAATTTATAAAATTCTCACGGATTTTTACTATATTTGTCTTAATTACAACCGTTTTTTCGCACCACATACGTGTAAAACTTTCCATTACTAGAAATGTAGAAAATGATAAAAACCAATAGATATCATAAAATCATGCAACGTCATGCTATAAGTGATCACAAGGTATTAATATGGTTGTTACACAAGCTTAATTAGATTCGAGTATTTAAAGAACCGCTTGTTGATAAAATTTTCCCTACCAAAAAGTTGTTATCAATATTGTTAAGGTAAAATAATATTTCAACAATATTATTTGTGTTTTTGGTGTGGGTTTTATAGTTTCTTACTTATTTATTATCATTGGTTTAAACAGTTAGTTAATGGTCTGTAATTCTGAGAAGAGAATAATTTCATAGGGAAAAAGTTTTTTTTGCTATATAAACACGATACGGGTTAAATCAAACCATTGTAATGGCTAAGACTCCGACGCCCCGTCCAAAAAGCGGTAAAGGACTTGGAAAAAGTGCTAAAGTTAGTGCAATGCGGCATAGGGTAAATATTTAAAGTAAATACTAAGTTGATTGGATTGCCTATTCACTTTTTAACTGAAGAATAATTTATTTTATTTTTAGAAATTGCTGCGTGAGAACATCAAAGCGATCACACGACCTGCTATTCGAAGAATGGCACGTCGAGGTGGCGTTAAACGAATATCGGGCGAAATATATGAAATTGCAAGAACTTGTATAAAAGATTTCGTCACGGATGTTCTCAAAGACTGTGTTTCCTATGTAGAATATGAACGAAAAAAAACGGTGGGTGTTATGGAGATGTTGTTGGCCCTCAAAAGACAAGGACGAACTATATATGGGTTCGATCATGAAATCAGAGGACGACACACCCATGCACATTTTCATTATTAATAAGAATATCCGTCCCCAAAAATTTTTGGATTATTTCTTGTATAAAATTGTGACATTGAGAGTTTATCTATAGAGATATAAATAATTCATAAATTATCTGGTCGATACTTGATTCTCATTATTTTTTTCTACCGTTATCGATTTTCTCTCCAATTTAAACACTTGTTAAATATAAATTCTATTCTCTGCAAATAACTATCCGTCACCTCTTATTATAAAAAAAAAAAAAAATTAAAATGTATCATAAAAATGAATTTAAAAAAAAATTATGAAAAGATGAGATGTATTTAAATAAATACTTCTCAAACCTAAAAATCATAAATCTATATTTTAAAATATTTATTTTTTAAAGATGTTTAAATCTAGATCAAAATAAATTCGAATTATTAAAATTTATCATATATTCATGATTTCAAATGTAAATACGCAGCAGCTGAACGCAAAAAAATTGAGCATTACCGTTTTCACGAAAATCAAGATCTAAATTTGGTATCATAATATTTAGTCAACATCTCCGTAAAAGTTACACTGCTTTCTATTTGTCCAGTAATCTACTAATTATTTGAACATCTCATTTGAGCGTTTCTTTGATTTAATTCTTCGTATTATATGAGCTTTGGTATAACTAAAGGTATAAACCTTATTATATCACGCAGTTTAATTATAGAAAGAAGAAATATTACGCATATACTACGTCAAATGTCAAATTCGAACGGCAGGACTTTGGATAATTTAACAAAGTCTTTTATTTTTATTAAGCGTTTACCTGTTGATGAAGCAACTTCTTCACCTGAAACCATTCCGATTGAGTCGCAAAGGATCTCACGTACTGTTAAAAAGGCCGCCTTTACTTATGTTGTTCCTGAGCCAGTAAAAGAACCTAAATTACTCGCTATAGCAGAAAAAGTTGCTAAAGAAATATTGGACTTAGAAATAAATAATTGGTCTGAGGAACAAAAAGAGAAATTCTTGGAAATTGTCAGTGGAAATCGAATTGTTGAAGGAACTTTTCCCTGGTCTCACTGTTATGGTGGGCATCAATTTGGATTTTTTGTCGGGCAGTAAGTTTTATCTTGTATTTCAATAAAATATGATTTTTAACTAATCTAACACTATTTGCCTCAAAGACTCGGAGACGGACGCGTAATATCTCTATGTAAGATTAGATTTATTGTTTATCCGACAATATTGAAAATAATCTAATCGATTTATATTTTTTATGTTTGAATTTAGTTGAAACAATTAATTCCAAACAAGAAAGATGGGAATTGCAATTAAAAGGTATTTAATATATTGTCATTTACATTATTACGTTCCAAATTTTTCTAATACGATCTTCGTCACGTTGAAGGCGTTGGAAAGACTCCGTTTTCTAGAGCAGCTGATGGACTTGCTGTTTTGAGATCATCTGTTAGAGAATTTCTCTGCTCGGAAGGTTTGAATCATATGATTTGTTTTTTTTTCTTGTTTTCATTTACTCATAAAATTTAATTTAACAGCGATGGCTGCATTGGGTGTCCCCACATCAAGAGTTCTCTCAATCGTGCACACACCAAAACGCATGGTACAACGTGAAATTCTCGAAACTGGTTCTATTGTATGCAGATTAGCGCCATCGTGGATAAGATTTGGAAGTTTTGAGATATTTTTTTATCGAATGGAAAGAAAACAATCAAGAGCTTTAGCCGATTTTGTTGTTGAAGAAGTTTACGGCTATAAAGCCTTAGAAAATACAGATCAGAAATATGGAAATCGTTATGGTAGATTATTTAATGAAATTTCAAGACGAACGGCAAAGATGGTTGCTTATTGGCAGGCAGTTGGATTTTGTCATGGTGTCATGAATACGGATAACATGTCAATTTTAGGTAATCTTTATTTAATATATTTTATTGTTTTTTTAAATATTATAATTAACAATATGTATATTTTAGGGTTGACAATTGATTATGGACCTTTCGGATTTTTGGATATTTATGATCCAAATTGGATTTGTAACCATTCAGACTATGAGGGTAGATATTCATTCAGAAATCAGCCCACTGCCTGCATTTGGAATCTGCTAAAATTGAGTCATGCTTTTCAAGAATTAATTGGAGCTGAAAATGAAGTAGATAAACAGTGGTTCTTAGATGGGAATTATCCCTTTGACATTGATGAGGATAAACTTTTGAAGAAAAATGAAATTATCCAGAGAGGCAAAGAAGTAATTGATTTGATATTGGGAGAATTTCAAGAAGTATTCTTGGAAGAATATGTGAAGATAATGATAAAAGTAAGCAATGTTGAATTTGGTTTGTGACGTTATGTTTTACATCATGTATGTCGTATCAAATAATTGATATGTATGTGTTTGTTATAGAAATTAGGATTTAAAACATCACAATCAACAGATTTAGAAAATATTATTACTCCACTCCTTAATCTTCTTGCAAAGCATTTAGTTGATTATCATCATTTTTTCCGATCATTATGCTCATTCCGAACTACATCATCAAATTACCCATTAAATTCCATTCAAAATCTCTTTAAAAGATCACATAATTTAGATCAAGCATTGTCAGATTTTAATTCATGGTTCGGAATATATAAACAAAGATTATTATCCGAAGAATCAGATGACATTAGTAGATCAATTAAAATGAAACAAATTAATCCTAAATTTGTGTTGAGAAATTGGGTTGCTGAGGAAGTAATTGAAAGAGTTGAAAAAGGAGATAAAGAAGTATTGAAGAGAGTGTTAAGAATGTGTGAAAACCCTTACAAAGAATGGGGTGCAGATGCTGGTGAATTTCAGAAAGAAGAGGCATATTTTTGTGATGAAGTTCCAAATGTAAGTATTAGTATTTTTTGAATTATATAAAATCAACTTATTACTAATAATGTATATTTCCTTTTAATAGTGGGGTTTAGGAATTCAATGTTCTTGTAGTTCATGAGATTTGTTTTTTTTATGCATACACTCATTTATTATTCATTCATTTATTTATTTAAAACACACTTTAACAAACTAATGTTTTATACTGATAAAATGTATATTAGTATATAAAATAATTAATAATCGATATTATTTAGGCATTAAATTTTAATAAAGTATTAAAAGATGAAAATAATATAAGTAATATAATGTATTAAATGCAATAAATAAATATAAAGTAGACAAATAAAAAAATTTTTTTTTTTTACGTGAGATTTTAGAGTTATTTAAATAACTCCTATAATTAGATAAGAAATAAATTAACCCTTTTTGCTAAACATATTGTGTTTTTGTACTGTGATATTTTGTTTGTTACACTTTTTTTTTATGTGAAATGATATTATTGATAATTTAAATTTTTTCAGAAATAAAAGTTTGTAATATTTGACCATCCTCGAGTGAAATATCATGTAATTTCGTTCTATCATCAAACATACGACCTAAAAAGAAAAATCTAATATTGAACCTTTTAATATCAATATTTTGGTCCGTACATAATTTTACTTTTAAAGTAGCAATAGTATCCAATTTTGGATTATAATTAATTTTAACATCTCTTGTACTTGTTGATAATCTTATTGTAAAAGTGTGTCCTGGACCAACAATTTCTTGTTCAGCAAGTAATTTAGTATCAAGGTTTTCAACACGTTGTGATGTACCTTCATCATAATTATTGTCCGTAATAAGATTTGTCGGATCAACGATACAATATATGGGTATAACATATCTATTTCCAAGTTCATCATAACAACCATCAGATAAATTTCCCGTTGGTATAGTAATATTTGCAGAATCAATAATAGCTTGAGATAAAGTCAAATCTTCTGATTCACATGAACATCGAAGAGCTTGCCAAATTTCCAAACGACCCTTAAAATAAAAAAAAAAATTAAAACTTTTGTCCTAAATTCCATGATATTTCATTATCATTTATCATTCTTACTTCATAACTAGGTGCAGTATCCCAAAACGCGTCACGTTGTCGTTTTAAATTATATATAGTTATTGGAGAATCCGCTGTCCATGTTATGCCTTTTTTAATGAGTGGCCTATTACCTATAATTTAAAAATAAATATTACTCAATAATAAGAATTATAAACAATGTATCTAATCTATGGTTTTTTTGAAAAATAAATAATTTGGAATAATTATAGGTCATTGATAACAATTGAGATAGTATTGATAGGATTCCACAATCAACAAATTTGGGAAAATTTATTTACAAAACATTTATTATTTTAAAGAAGCATCGATTTCTATTCATTCAATTAATAATATCTGTTAAATTTTTTTCTATAAATATTTTTCCTAATATTCAAAACCGATTTTGAGTGGTCACCCCAATATCATCTGATTATTGAGTTGTCCAATTTATCTTTATAATCTCACCTCCTCTAGGAATAGGGTTACCATCGGCCCCTTCTTGCCTGAGAGAATCATCATCATTTCTTGAGGAACAACAACCCATAAGTTTCTAATGGAAATTTTTGATGACTTAATTTGACTAGAATGAAAAGAAAATATAATATATATATTAAATGTCAAAAGTCGCGTAAAAAAAGTATCCGTAACGCGTTCCAAAATGTAAAAATAGATTAAATGTGATAAAGTATTTGTTTATGCTTTGTTTTTTAAAGAAAAACAATTAATAATGGAAAGAACGGCTCTAAATGTGACGCTTTCAAGCAAAAGAACGAATCAAATGGTCAAAAGATAAATTATTCGAACTAAAAAAGAGTTAATAATTTTAAATAATGAAGTAAATTAGTATCAATAAAAGAATAAAATTATTTTTTGTGTTCAAGATTATTTAAAAAAAAAAAGAAAGTAAGAAAGAGAACATTTTCAGTTGAATTTCATAATGCGATACATGTGTCGTGTAACTAATATAATTATATCGATTGGCTAAAAATATAGGAGGTTATTTTTTTTGACGTTTGTCAAATGACGATTATCGATAATAGATCAATTCCCATGAATAGATTTTCGTTTAACCTTGAACTTTAAGTTAATTTTTGCTGATATCAGATATCTCGGTATGTATGTATATATTGCCTGATTTTCTTTTAAAAAAAAAAAATTTTTTCGCGGTAACAATCAACACCTTCGTTCTTCGGACCAAACAAAAAAATTATTGTATTTATTAATTTGTTTATTTTGCCTTTTCTATAAATATAATGGAATAAATTTTGTTTGTTAATTTTGGTTTAAATTCTTTTTTTTTAGCATTTGGTCTTTTCTTTTTTGAATTTAGTATTGTATAGGTAAGAAATGAAAGGGAAGACTATACTCCATATATACAAAGCATTACTTAATGATATTTTAATGAATAGACTTACTATTAGTGTAAAATATATGTTCCCTTTTGAGGCTCAAAATATCTTTTTTCACTCATCAGAAAATGTATAGACTTAATGCTATCACTCGACCAAGAACTTTCTTGAGTAATAATCGAATTGCGGTGCGTGCTGCTAAAATTAGTCCCCCTTTAACATATAAAGGTAAGACTATTTATTACTTAAATATAACAAAATTTTAAAAATTTTTTTTTTTTATAAAATTAACCTTTTTTTAACAATTAGGAGTTCGTCTTTATTCTGATGCTCATGAAAGTGAAACTTTTGAAGAATTTACTGAACGTTATGTTAAATTCTTTGAAGGAGTTGATGATCGTTTTGAATTATCGAGAGGTTTAAACAATTGTTTTGCTCATGATTTAGTACCAGCTCCATCTGTCATTGAAGCTTCACTTAGAGCTGCTAGACGTGTAAATGATTTTTCAACTGCTGTTAGAGTTTTTGAAGGTTTGAAACAAAAAGTTGAAAATGATGGTCAATATAAACAATATTTGGAAGAATTGAAGCCAATTAAAGAAGAATTGGGTATTTTGACCAAAGAAGAATTAGGTCTTTAAAAAAAATATATATATTATATATTTATTTGGTGAGTATTTGAATTCTCTCTCTTTTTTTTTATTTTTTTAATTGTACAAATAATGTGAGAATTTTAATTTAGGATTAAATCTTATGTATATAAAAAAGAAATAAATGATGATATTTATTTTATGATTTTTACAAGTGATTTTTTAATAATTATATTGATTTAACATCCTAAAAGTAGGTTATATCAGAGCATATAATTTTTCATATTAATAAATTATATGTTTCACCAATGATATTGGTTAGTAATAAGTTTGTATGATAAAAATAAAGTTCTTCTTAAGTAGGAAATTAAATTATTAATTATCATAACATAAATATTTTACAACCTATAAAAGGAAGTAGAATTAAATTAGTAAAAAGTTCTTATCGTCGAATTTTAAGAGTTAAGAAAAAAATTTTTTTTTTTTTTCAAATTTCAACTATCTTTATTTTATTATAAATGAACAAAAATCATCATTTTTTTTTTTTTTTGGCATATATGTGTGTTCTTTTCTTTTTAATATACATAATCAATAATTACAATATTATTTTTTTCTGGGCGTTAATGATTAAATAAAGATTGCAAGTTTAAAACAAAAATTAAAAAAAAACCAAAAAGTTCGTTCCTAAAGAAATGATAATAATAATTAAACATCTAATTTTTATTTTAGTCATCTAGTTCATCTTGATCTTTGTTATCAAGTTTACGTTGTTGAACTTTTTTCGCTTTAGTATTAGCTATGACACCAAAAACAAATCTAATATAAAAAATTAAAAATAAATGAATTATTAATTACTTGTGATAAAACAAAAAGCGTAAATGAGAAGACTTACCCAACAAGATTAAAAAATGGTACCCATAACTGTGGAGGCAAGAATCTTTGAGCGAAACCCATTGCCATTGGTGAAACGATCCAACTCATCTTCATAATAGGCCATAAAGACTTTCTAACCGTTTTTCTTATTTGAGCTGGATCATTTATACCTCCGATGACTGCCATGGCAATTAAATATACTGAATAAGAGGAAATTAAATTATCGTGAGTAAATACAAAAACCGATCAAAAGTTATCAATTTATCACATAATAAGAATTGACATAATCGCGAAAAAAAAACATACCTGTATTTTGAATCGGAGTGATGATTAATTGAGATGTAAGAATTTGCATCAATTTGGAACTATCACCGGTACGATTTTTAAATAATTTATTAAGCATCTCAAAAAGTAAATGGTTAAGAGGTCCACTTACCAAGAAACCTAGAATGTTTTTAAATGATCAATCAAAATAATAATAATAATAATAAAATAAAATAAAATAAAATAGTATTTTCTCAATTATATTTAATACTCAATTAAGCAAAAATACACACCATACAAGGCCATTTTTAAGATTTTTTCATCAATAAGATTACTTTGGTCTATTTCTTTGGCTTTTCCCTTTCTTCTCCTACTTGTTCCGCTTAACTCCTGAGCAACAAATTCTTGAAGACCCGATAACACCCCTGAAGTTATTGCTTTTGTTCTTAAAGGGTTTGTATGTAATTGTTGAAGGTAAAGTGCCAACAAATACGATGGAAAAGATTGAGACTTTTCTTTAATAGGAACAGGTTTCGACTGTGCAGTCATATTTATTATTATATATTAAAAAAAAGACGAAAATGAGAAAAAATGAAAGGAATGGCGTTATTATATGATGATGGTCATTTCATCGGCAGATCAACTGATTGTAACACAATTTATGGAGATCATAAACGTTTTTTCTTAAAGATTATTTTTATTATTAATAATGTAAAATAGTAAATAGTATGAATAGTATGAATTTATCGATATCTTTACATCCAATCGATTACGTAATCCTAAAACCAGTTTTAAGATTACTTGCTTTGGATTTTATATAGTACTATACTAAAAAAGTTAAAAAAATCAAATCTCCCATGGTATCATAACCGTAAGGTGTTAAATGAATACCATCAGGTTGATAATACGTTGAGTTATTAGGAATTTTACTTGCTATATCAAACGGTGTTACTTTAGGATCTGTATAGTTTCTATAAAAAAAAGTATATTATTTAAATTATAATAACGATATAAAAATGTAAAAATTTATACACATTGTGTCAATTCTAACCTTATCAAATCATTTATTTGAAGTCTTGTCGGTTCATGCTCATCCTAAACATAATAAATATATACATAAGAAAGTAAAAAGATTAAAGTGTTAAGATACGAACGTTTTTTAAAGATTTTCATAATAATAACTTACATTATTAAAATCTAGAATAGTTAAAGCTAATACATTTGCACCACTACTTTCACAAATAAGATAAAGATTTTTTAATGCAGCAAATATTTTATCAGATTTATAGCGGTTAAAACAATCATTTGTCCCTAAAAATAAGAGGAGAAATTAAAAAAATTTATTATAAAATAGAATTAAATATATTTCAACAAGGCCATAAATGTTATTGTTTTCAGCAAATGTTTGTTCTTTATGCAATGTATTCTAGAAGTGATCCAGTCATCCAGTTACAAAATATTAAATAATGCTGAGTATATAGAATTCAACAAGGCTAAACAAATAACAAAATGTGAAAAAAAAAAAATTTTCGCGAGAAAAAAAAAAATCTCGTTACCTCCTAATATGACAACCCAATCGAAAGATTTTCCCTTTGCAGCTTGTTGCTTTAAAGATTCACGAAGACGTCTTTCGAATCTTCCATCTACTACGCGATCTCCTGATTGTCCGTTTACAACTATCTATATTTTTTAGTTTAAGCCAAAGAAAGGTTTATTATGCGAAAAAAAAGACATTTAGACATTTAAAAATTTTTTTATTTTACGTCAGCTTGTATTGAAGCTTTCTCAAAATCTTTCTTCAGTTGAATCGCATAAGGATGATATGTTTGATTGCGCTGAGTATATCCTACTGTCAAAGAATCTCCTAATAAAAGGATTGAAACTTGAGAAACAACAATCGCAACGTTTAACAAAATGAATAATAAAATATACTTAAATGAATTCATTGTGATTTTCTAGATTCACTTTTTTTCTATACAGCATATGTTTATAAATAAAATAATAAAATTGGCTAACTTATGATACTCCCATTTTGGGTTTCTTTCACTTTATTATATCAGTCAACCATTAACTTAAATTCGCGTTTTTATTTTCACTTTATTCTATTAATATGGAAGAATCGGATTAAAAAACCATTAACTTAAATTCGCGTTTTTTTTTAATTTCTTTTCACTTTATTCCATTAATATGAAAAGCATCGGATTAAAAAGGTTCACCAACTATTAACTTAAATTCGCGTTTTTTTAATTCCTTTTCACCTTGCTCCGTTCATATGAAAAGAATAAGGTTCGCCAATCATTAACTTAAATTCGCGTTTTTTTTTTTAGTTAAAAAAAAAATTTTAGCCCCCGTAGCGCCCCGTATTTTTGTATTACATACATTAATCTCAGATTCTCGGATCGAAGATCACATAAAAGTAACTTTATCCGATATGTAAAAAAAAAAAAGTTATATATCCTTAATATTCTTATTTTAATTTTTAAAAGAACTTAAACTTATTTATGATGTCTACAAATATTACTTGGCATGAAGGACAAGTAACTCGTTCAGAACGAGAAAATTTACTTAAACAAAAAGGTTTAACGATTTGGTTTACCGGACTTTCCGCTTCTGGTAAATCAACTTTAGCAAGTGTTCTAGAACAACATTTATTACATTTAGGTATATCTAGTTATAGACTTGATGGTGATAATATTAGATTTGGATTGAATAAAAATTTAGGCTTTGGTCCGGATGATCGTACTGAGAATATTCGTAGAATTGCAGAAGTAAGTTAAATAATATTTTAAATTTCTTTTACAGTCAATGTTAATTACGTAAGTTTAACTAAAATCCAAATAATAAATAATTGGACTTATAAAAAATGCCAACACTGTTTATTAATTTACTTATAAATTCATTATTCTTAATATTGAATTAGGTTGCAAAACTTTTTGCGGATTCTACAACAATTGCGTTGACTTCTTTTATTTCACCATATAAAGCTGATCGTGATTCTGCAAGAAAATTGCATGAAGATAATGGTATCCCATTTATCGAGGTTTTTGTTGATGCACCTCTAGAAGTTGTTGAACAACGTGATCCAAAAGGTTTATATAAAAAAGCAAAAGCCGGGGAAATCAAGGGTATTTATTTTTTATTCATATTTTACATAAAATTCATAAAGTCATTGAATAGGATAAACAATTAAATTGTATTTATAGAATTTACCGGTATTTCTTCTCCATATGAACCACCAACATCTCCTGAGTTACATATTCAAACTGATAAAACTACAATAGAAGAAAGTGTAAAGGTATGGTTCTTTTATATATTTAATATATGCAAAATTAATTAATTAAATAATATTTTTTATTTTTTTATTTTTTTTTAATTTTTTATTAACAGATTTTAGTGAATTATCTAAAGGAAAAAAAATATATTTCTACATTATAAATAATTATGTAAAATGCTAAATCTCAATAAATCAAGTTTTTTTAATGATTTAAAAAGCGTATAACAAATGTTTATATAAAAAAAAGTTCAAAATTTTCAATTGTTAATTTAAAAAATAAATATGATATTTAACGTCTCCATCAAGGAGACGATAATCTTTTTTTACGTCTATATATGAATCTGTCAAATTATTGTAACGAATATTATTTTACATCTTAACTCCAGACATCTTCTTGATATCTTCCTTTGCTTCTTAAATCTTTAACATAATTTGTTGCACTAGTTTCATCCATTCCGCCACATGATTGAGCAAGTTGACCAAGGGCCGTATTAACGTCACGTGCCATATTTTTGGCATCACTGTAGTTAAAAATTAATTTGTATTTAGTAATCAAACTTTTTGATCGCACGAAAAAAAAATTATTATGATATATGATACCATACCCGCATACATAGAAATAACCACCAAGATTATGAATCAAATGCCAAATATGTGAACCATTCTCATGAAATTTATGTTGTACATATACTTTTTGTGACTAATAACAAAAACAAATATAATTTAGTAATCAAGAAGAAAAATTTTTTTAAATATAAATAAAATTCCTTTATTAAAAAATAGCATACCTGTTCTCTTGAGAATGCTGTTATTAATTTTCCACTTTCACCGAGAGTGGCAAATAATTCGGTAAATTCATTTTGATATAAAAAGTCCTCATCCCGTTTTCGACAACCGAAAAACAATACTGTTTCGCCGACTTCCTCTCCTTGAGCCTTAACAAGTGCTCTCTCGATAACGAATCCTCGAAAAGGTGCTACACCAGTGCCAGGGCCAACCATTACAACAGGAAGTTTTGAATTTTTGGGTAATTTGAAATTAGTATGCCTAACATGTAAAGGCATCTTAATCAAGTTGGTTCCCTCATCATAATATTTATTTCTTGGTCCAGAATATAAATAGGATGGTGATGTTTCTGGATGTTGAATATTTCTTAATTTACGATGAACTTGCAGTATATAATTTGTTGCAAGACCGTATACTTTCCTTTGAGGGGTTGTTTTGGGATTATAGGATAATATGGAGGCAGTAACATGAATTGTCTTTGGTGTAGATTTTGAAGAGCTTGAAATTGAATAATATCTGGGCTGTACTCTTGGGAGGATTTCAACAACAAATTCTAGAGGGATAGAATCTAAAGGTTTTCCATTTGGAGAAATAGACTCCAAAAGTTCACCTAAGGAAAGGTGAGCATCAGAGACTTCAATTCTATAAGATTCTTTGTCTGAACCCAAATTAGTGAGCCTAGCTTTGCCTTCTTCCGTTGACACAAAGGTAGCTAGGGTGGCAATAGATTGGCGAGAAATTGGAGCATGAATATCAAGATAATATCTGAAAATAGTAGCATAAGTTGCTGGAACTGGGAATGTATATTTCTTAGTTGTCGATGCTAAAAAGATTTTTTTTTAAAAAAAAAAATCATTATTTAATAAATATTGTAAATACATTAATAATTGCTTTTGAAAAATAACAAATTATAGTTATGTTCATACTTACGATCAATACTTTCAACCGAGACGATAGTGTCTCTCTTTTCCCAAATACCCAATATTTTAAGTAATCTCTCAACATCTTGTTCGGCATTCATGGGCCAAACAGCAACGTGATCACCAGTCTCATATTCAAGACCAGATCCGCTAATGTCAAATTCCATATGAACGCAGTTACGATCTGTCATATTAGTATTGAAGAGCTCATGAGTAGCAACAATTGGAGAGAAATAAGGATTTCTTGCATCATAAGTTGGACGACTAAATAAGGAAAACATTGAATTAGTAAGCAAAATAAATATATATTTACTTAATCAGTTTCATAAATACTTACATTCCATTAACCATCAAAGCTTGTCCACTATATTCACCGTGAAAAATTTTATTGCTGTCACAAGATTCCAATTCGGTAATTTTATAAGCAGCAACATGGTCTCTATAAATGTAATAGTAAAATAAATATGTTATAACAACAGTGAAATTAAATCAAAATTTTTTAAAATGGATTTCTGATTACGTACCCATCTTTAGCTTCACTTTGATCTACTTGCATAGCATCACAAACAGCTTTCCACATATCATCTTTCCAGCCGAGGAAATCTTCTTCTAAACTGCCATCATCATCACCTTCACCACGTTCACCAATTCTAGTAGCACCAAATTCAGTTAATTTATTATCAATCATTCTGCCGACCGCGTTAAAGTGTTCATATGTTTTATTTCCCAAAGCAAACACGACATAACGAAGAGAAGATAAAGGTTTTTCTTCTACTGGTATTCCTGCCGAAAATTCAGGTGATTCAGAAGTGATCAATTCCCAAAAATCAACAGCATCATCGGTAGGTTCACCTTCACCTATTTTATTAGTAAATTATTTCAATTAGTGATTTTTGATCGATAAATAAATCGTATAAAAATCCAATAAATTTGATGTATTACCATATGTAGCCATCAAGAAAAAGGCAACGCAGTCTAATGGAAATTTATCGAGAAGAGCCATGTTACAATCTTCAACGTCAACAGTCATAGTTTTGAGACCAAATTTTTGTTGACCTTCCTTTGCAAGACGAGAAGCATAATCTTCTGCAGTCCCAGTTTGAGATCCATAGAATAGAATGACGTTCTTATCCTAAATTTCAATAAGTATGAATTTAATATATATGTTACCGGTCAAAATCATTGCAAAAAATTAAATGAACTTACAGTTTCTTTCATCCTCTTGATGAAATCTTTATCTTTCTTTGGTGGACCAGTTATAGGTTTAGGTATAGTAGTCGATACTGGCTGCTGAGGAGTGGCAATTTTGCTATTATTTCCGAATATCGTATCTTTATAAAGATATAAAATAGCCATAACTCCAGCAGTAAGTAGAAAAACGAGATCAAAAGTATCAATCATTGGCTCATCAGCCTGTACGGTTAATGTCTCGGTTAATATGTTATCACTCATGTTGAGTTATTTAGATCTTACAAAAATTAGTAAAATTTATATATGTATAAATAGATTTTAATAATATTTTGTTCGGTATATAATTCTATGTTGACAAGTGTCAAGAGAAAAAATTAAGATTATAATATAAAAATTTTAAATTCAGTGTACTTTATTAGAAAAAAAATTTAAATTTGCATCCTTTTTATATATTTACAAACGGTCGATCTCCCGGGTCGAATTTCTCCGAACTTCCGAATTCCGAATGGATCATTCAAAAATGACGACATCTAATTTTAGTAACAACTTTCATTTAAAATGATTTAAACTATCATTATATTACCCCTAATGATAAATAAACAGTATAAACGCAAATCCACTCCAAGAAATTAGTTCTTTTGTCTTTTTCTTTTTGTTACACAAGTAATTATAGATTTAAAGAGTTCGAAACAACTTTAAAACTAAGGATTCCATAAATGGTTTTGGAGGCCACTATGAAAATCCAAAATTTGTTAAGAGATTTCTTTAAATGGAAAATATTTTGTGGCAAATACTCCGATTAACCAAATTTTGAACAATCCTCGGAATTTGTATTGGTTCTTGCAGACAAAACTTCCCATAGAAGGAAAAAAAGCCATTGTCGTTATCATACTTATTTATAGCAAAACAAACCAAAAAATTTCCTACAGTAACACCAGTTGCCATGCGAATACAGCATTAATTCGAATTCATATGAAAGATAAACAACTATTATTCCAGTTAAAGAAATGTTAGTACGACAAGTACGACAGAATTTTGACGACATTTTCTAAAGAAATAAATTTGTGTATTTGTTAAATTGTTAATTATCATAACATTAATTATAGATCATTCTTTGACAGCTTGGCTTAGTTTAATGGCTTATTAAGATACTTAAGAATCTTAAATTTGTAATAAAAAATAATTTATTAATAATTTTTAGAAAATAGAATTATCCAATTTTCTACATGGAATTCGGCAAATCAATATCTATATATGTCGTAATAGTGGTTAATAAATTATTAATTATTATTGATTATGATCATGCATATCATGCATAATGAAGTGATGAACCATAAAAGCCATGTCATGTTGTCGATCTGCCTATCATAATGGTCAAAAATCAATCCGTATACTAACCTCATGGATACTAGTTTTTGCATGTCATGTGATCGGAAATCTCTAAAAGCCACTGGCGCCACTAGAGTAAAAATACGGAAATGCGGGATAATCCGGTCCGAATAACGGATCGAAATCGAATATTTCCGTTATATTTCGTGGAATTTGTGCCGCAAAATATAAAATATAACAATTTCCATAATCTCGTCAAAGTTCGTTATGATTTCATATTTTCCTTTTTTTATCCCTTTAATTCCGGGAGTTTGAACAACAATTTGGAGTGAAATTAGAAAGAATTTTCCGATTAGGCCAGGAGTTAATGAATAAATCACCTCCTCTTAGGTTGTGACTCCTTATGTTGACAAAATTAATTTTACCTAATTTGTTATTATTGATCTACAAATTTGGAGATTAAGATCATCAACTTACCCGAGTTTTCTTCGTAAAAAATTACATATTCTTTGTCTTTTTTTTTGGTTCTTTATTGTGTTCTTAAATTTGGTAAGTCTACACATATTAAAACCGGTTCTCGGACATTTACGGTCATGACTGTAGTTTTTTCACATCGTATGATCATTATATACTCCTGTGACTTTCCTTCATAACGTCATACTTAAAGAAATTTCATATAACTTCAAATTCTCTTTTACTCACTTAAAATGGAAACGACGCAATATTAATAAGGATTCCTTTAAAAATTATACTCGCTCAACTAATAGACTTGAAACAAATAGTAATACCCGACAAAATTTTCATATAACAACCGAGGTTGATCTCATTTGAATCCACAATCCCGATTCCCGATACTCCTCATTTATGTTCTAATGACACCTCCTGGATAAGGTGGACATCAATAAATTCAACAAGGCGCGAGCGCATATTATACATAAAATCATGTGCGCAAATCTTAAAATCATGTGCGAATGTACCGCTTATTCAAATTTAAAAAAGGATATACGCAAAAACATTTTTTATCTGCTTTTTACAAAATTATAATAAGAGCGCAAAAAAATTTCATTTATTACTATAATATAAAATTTACATGTCCTGCCCGCTAAAAATGTTTATTTACAATTCATTAATAAAAATTACTTTTCACTCTTGAGAATTTATTGTATTTTGCATCCGCCTTGCTTTTAAATTAATCCAATTATCGTACAGTACAAAACGCCAAAACTTCTATAATATAAAATCTAAAATCTTTGAATAAAATCTAGTAAAAAGAATTGTACCCTACTTGTAAAAAGGAATCAATTTACAAAATAAAAAAAAGTCTCAATTTATTTGCTTATATAAGCATAATAAGCCAATCATAATTCAGAATCGAATGATCACGTGATTTTATTTACGTTTTGTCTTTTTTATAATAAAAAAACAATGCACAACTATTAATTATCAATTAATGCAATTAATGATAAAATACAAAATTTTATATACTGTAGTCTCAAATTTGTAATTTCATAATAAAATTATCACTACTTTAATATAACTTATTCATGCCTGTAATTTTTCTGATGGTTTATTTTTACACGGTTTTGGTAAACAAGACCGACAACAACTTAATCCTGACAAGTCAAAATCCTGACAAATCATTATACCGACAAGTTGATTATTCTGACAATTTTAGACCACGTTTAAACTAAATATTACATATTGCAACAAATTATTTTATTAGAACACTCACAAAATTGTCGATATAATGACTTATCAGGATTTTGGATTGTCGAGATTTTGTTATCTCTTATTGACATGTTAATACCAATAAACCGGAGTTCCAATTTCAATATATATATATACCAATGGTCATTTTTTACTAAATACGGTAGTTTTTTTTAGAGTATAACCTTTCACAATTGAGTCTACAGAGGATGCAGAGTATAATTTACTGGCTAATACTATATAATTATGCTAATTTTATGCAATACTACAAAACTCTATAGTATAGTAACATAATATAGTATTTTAATTATTTTATGATTTGCGCAGAGTTTACTTCATCATAATTGAATTTAAGTCATCCGAAATTTGACCACTAACATTACAGTATTAATGTGCTGATATGTGTTACATGAAAAAATTTAAAAAAATTTTCAAGTATTTCAAGAACAGTATTTTCGGATATATTCTTAGATATTTTAATATTTGTTATACTGTATAGTACGATGTAATATTTATCTGAGTATTCGAAAATTTGATATGTATACTCAGCAAAAAATACAGGTTTTTGCAGTTCATAATTTTGCGGAATCAAACCAAAATCACGCTATACTGAACTCAGCTAGGCAAGTAGACTCAATTGTAAAAGGAATTACCGTTTTTTTTAGTATAAAAATGTAATTTATCGCTATTATTAGAGATGCAAACTATGCTCAGCTCTGGCAGTCTGGTACGATCTTATGTTAGTCGTGCAAGTGACTGTCAACTGTCGAGATTTTTGATCAGATACCCTTTTATACTCTTTCTCATCACTGGACATGAGATAAAAGAGTTATTCACGTGTCGCATAAATATCATGATTTTCCGTGAAAATCGTTGATATTCATGACTCCCTGTGAATTAATTATTACTTATAAAAAATTAGCCGACAGTTAGAAAGTTCTCAATTTTTTATTATGAAATTTTGTCACACCTATTTTATTGTTGAGTGTAGAGGTTTTGCACTGTATGCTTTTTCAAAGTCAAAATCTTCTATATCAGGACCATTGATTAAAATCATTAAATGTTTATGTGCAAAGCTTTGTTTTAATTAAATTTTGGTGCGAAAAAATGATCTTAGAAAATTTTTGTAAAAATATGCACGTATAGAGTAAATTTCACATTCTAATGTTTTTATTATCCGCGAAGGACTACTAGATAAATTTGTAGTACCGGTTTAACCCATGTATTTTTCCTTTCATCTACGTCACTATAATTTAGCCCCTACTTATTTCCTTTTATGTTTTGTATCACATTTTTTGTAACGCTTTATTTTTAGACATTTTGTAATACTTTAAGCGTATTAAGCGACGGACCCTCAACGGTCCTAAACTCCTAATATAATGGACTTTGGTTAACACATTTAGATTTTCTTATTGTTATTCTTTTCCTTCTTTTCCATTTCTAAACTACTTAATAAACTGTGGATGCAATTGAATAGTTTTTTAGTAGATATAGTTACCCGGTGCAAACTTAACTCATTTTTAAATTACGTCCATACGTCTTTATATGACAACTAGTATCGTTCTTATACGATCACGTGCTATTTTCTTATACGATCAAATTATGCAACAATATGCACTCCTTTTTATGTATCTTCTTTTACAAGAGTATAGAGTATAAACACAAAAAGAATTTTTTTGCAAAGACATTATTAATAAATAGACTTATAATACTTTAAATATTTATGAATATATATATATATACACAATATATATATAAAATTAATTTTTTATTTTTAATATTTATATCAAAACATTATTATATATTGTAAAACTTGATAAAATATTGTAAAAAATAAATAAATATTAACAAATAAGAGAACAAAATTTGATTTTAACAAGTTGTTTATTTATATCAATTATCGCGCGGGACAAGAAGGTAATTTTTACATATATGATCGTACAAGAAAATAACATCTGATGGTCCACATATTGTTGCATAATTTGATCGTATAAGAAAATAGCGTATAAGAACGATACGACATATGACTTATCTAATTGCGTCACAGTTGCAAATGTATCGTTCTTATACGATCAGCTGCTATGTTCTTATACGACGTATATGTCACATAATATAGGTCGTATAAGATAGTATGTCGTACACGTATAAGAACAATACATTTGCGTCACAGTTACGTTTAATAATGTCATCGAACCATTATTGAATAAATTAAATGCCAAAGTCGATTTTAAAAAAGCAGTTTACCATCCATAATATAACCTTAGACCGTTTTAAAAATTGTTATGAGTGGTTGAAGTATTATGTCAGAGTAGTATTACATACTGAGGGAATTAGTAGCAGAGTTATAATTAGTTAATCATATGCCATGATGATTATCATAGGGAGAAATAAAAAGGAGGTTCCGGACACTTGAAGATTAGCGCTCCTAAATGAATATCCTACTAGTATGACGAAACCTACTCTTAATTTTTCACAAGATCAGTCCATATGCCCACTTTAAGGTTTCCCGAATCATGCATTTATTTGCCAGCCCAATAAGGAGTGCATCGATTAGTTGATGATCTTTATATATTATACATAATACGTATTTGTTTTGATTTTCAAATTCCTGGTAATATCATAAACTAAAAAAAGAAAAAAGTTGTTTACCTTTAATCCTTGCATACAAGTTATCTTTTTGATCTTACTACTAGGAATCAATGTGAACAAAGATTCTTTTCTGAATTATTATAGAAAACCTTTAATTTTTTCAATATATCACTTGCATGAGATCAACAGTTTATTTTTAGATAAAAGTATATCTTCACATTATCTTACTCTTCATTTTTTCATTTTTCATGATTTTCACTCACTTCTGTTGTGATAATTATATTATCCCAAAAGAAGAATGGAATTAATGCATAATTTAATTAACACATATTGTTTAAAAAGCCTTGGCAGGTATAAGATCAGCTATGAGTACACAAAGGGTAAAATAAAAAAGGTCGTTACTATTTTAATTTTTACTATTTTTGATTTTTTTTGATATTTTTAACTGATATGTATGTAAAATTAATTGATTAACGAAAAATTTTCCGATTTATTTTAATTTGTTTTCTTCCAATTACAGTCAGGTTCTGATCATACCATTTTTTTTTTATTTTTTTAGTAAATTTCTTGGTAAATCAAATTTAACATGACAAGGTTTTAATATTAATCTCAATTTTTACTTCAAATTACAAAGACAATATTTTTTTTACAAACAAAAAAAAAAGTTTCTTCTTGTTTAATTAAATTTAATAAGAATATAGGAACAAAAAAAATCCAGTAAATAATTAATGGTTGGTTACTTTGTTCTTTGTTTCGTTTGGGCACTAATCAAATTATATATAATATAAATAAATTCCATAATTCATAACTTGTGGCTTAGACACAACCCGAAAGTAAACCGTAGTTCGCCCGATGAATAAATTATAAATTATTCTAATTGGAGTATAGCTTTCCTCGGTGAAATCCAAATACAGATTTGGAATAATTAGCTGAATTAGAATTGTTAAAAAAGTCATACGAAATTAATTAAAATGTAAATAAAAAAAAAAAGATTTCTTGGCATTCCCTACATTTATGGTAATGTAGTTTAATGATCTTCCCCAAACAAAGTTGATCTACGTCACACTTAAGATATTCTCCTTTTAAATTTATTAGTATAAAATATCCATATTTGGCTAAATTTATTAATTATTAATAATTTTTGATCATGGTGCCAATTTATTTTTAGAAAGTCTTTTTTTTTTGAATGTAATTTACTCGTAATATAGATATCCTGTTTTCCTATATAAGTTAATAATACTTGGCATGCAGTTTGATTTACAAACAAATTTTTTTATATAAGAAGCTTCAAATTAAACAAACTAAACCCAACTTCCTCCAAAATTCTAAAAAGTCTAATAAAGGACTTTTAAAATAATTCATAATTCATATTCACTTTTCTTTCTGTTGCAAAATGGTGAAGGTATCTTCTCTTTTTTTCATTTTCGCGGCTATTGCATCCACAAATGCCGCCATTTTACGTCGCCAATCGCCTAAAAATGGTCTCAGCGTAACAATAGAGAGTATAGATCTCTACTGTTCGTTTCTTCCAAAAGAAGCCGGTGGAAATATTGGTGCAAGCGAAAGTGATGCTATCACATTCTGCACTCAAGAAAACCCTCCCAATGCACCGGGCGCCAAGCTTTTCCCTGCAGGATTCCTTAAGACAGCGCATTTTCTTAAAACAGAGAAGTACGTCCAAGTCACTGGCACCATTGACGGTTCTGCGTACGGATTGAGCTCAAGTGATGGAGGTGGCCAATATGATAATCAAGGCGATGGTTCCCCTCCTGGTGCATTATGCACAGGTTATGAGAAATTTGTGAATCTTGTCGAGCCTGATATTGGCTTATTCTGTATTCGTTGTTGTACTGATCCTTCCGATTGCAATACTGGAGAAAGTACTGAGGGATGTCAGAAAATCATCCCTGGTAATTACACTTGAACATTTTTTCTCTAATTTAATAGATATGATTTGTATAATTTACAATTTATTTATGACTCTTAAGAACTTTAAATTACATTGGTGCTTTTTATTTGTTTTTAAAGAATAGATTAATTTATTTCAAATTATAATTTAATAATTAAATTTGTATTATCTTTCATTATTGGAAATAAACTGGTTTTTTAGTCAATTTATATACCAACATAACTGCTTATTGGTAATATCTTCAACTGTTTAAATTCTGCCATTTTCCAGTCTTTTTTTTTTTTTATACATGTATGTAGAATTTTTTTAAGCATAACATTGCCTGCAGCATACGTGTAGGTACAGATTTTTTGCACCTATTTTTTTGTGTGCCAGGTTGATGCGCAGCAATGACAAAATATGCACTCATACCACCCTAGCGTCTCAAAAAAAATGATGGCCGGATATGATATTTGGTAATCACATATGACATATCATCCATTTATGCACGTGATGCACGATGCGTAACATAATTTTTTCGGTTTGATCAAATTTTAAATCGGTTTTTTTTTTCTCTTCATTTTAATGAATTGATTATGTCAAGCCAACAAAAACAAAAGTCTGTAAAGGGTGTCATGTTTGAAGAGTTTTTGAATATAAAAGGTGTTGCTTTAAAAAAGTGTTTACGTTGCCGAAATAATATAAAGACTATTTGCAGGAAATACTAAATAAGATATACATGAATATTATATTATAAAAAATGTGATTTTTAATTTTTTTTATTGATGAAAATATCAATTAAGAATTGTTAGAAGAATCACATAATAAGCCAAAATGGTATTTTATGGTTAAAAAATGTTCAACTCGTTGGAAAAAATGAATAATGATATTATAGCACTTGAAAATCGTAGAACTATGCTTATGAGAACTTGGAAAGATTTAATAAGAATACAAGGTATTGGGAATAAGTAGTATTAAACTTTCAGAAACATGTTTAAATACTTATGTTGTGCTTTAATACAATTGAGATATGTATAAATTTTTATTTTATTACTAAAAGAGTAGTAGAATTGAGATATGTATAAATATTAAACATTGAAAATTATTACAATGGTCGTCCAAAATCACGTGTAACTCAGCCGGCTACCATTTTTTGGAGGCGACGCGCTAAGGGTAGATTTTATTTATTTTCACTATCACGTGACATAAGGATGCTTGCCAAAAATATTTTTTTAAAATTTATAGTTTAGTCAAAGTTTAATTGCCTAAACTGTTTTTATGCTTTTCCGAAACTAATTATAATTTAGGAAAGTTTCGGATTTACCAATTTTTTGAGTTTCGGATTTTTGAATTTTATCGTTAAATGAGTTTCGGGCAGCAACACTAACGTGACAGTGAAAAATATTCATCACAGGCGCTCCAGTTGTGATGATTAACCACCGGCCAACCTTACTGGTCCAGATGCATGACCTTGACCAGTCAAATTTGATTGGCTAATTTAATCAATAAAATCAATAAAATAAATTGTATACATAATAATATATATTAAAATATAAAAATATAAGAAATATAATAACTGCAACTATTTAAATATAAGAAAATATGAATATAAATAATAAAATTAATTGTATAAAACTCATTCTTTAATTTTTTTTTTCTTAGTAAACTATAAATATTGTTGAATCTGAACTACAACAATTTTTTGAAATGAAATTACACATTATTTTGCAATTTCAGATTATAAATCAGTGAATGCAACAAAATGAAAATATTATGTAGTATTTTATAGCAGAAAATTTACAGTTTTTGAATGCATTATTAATTTCCTTTCTGATAAAAATTAAAAAATGAACTTATCTTTATAATGGCAGCAGATTCTTATTATTTACAAATTTTCACTGATTAACATCTATCAAGATCACAAATTAAAATACTATAATACATATTTGTATAATTACTGATAAGAAGTTTACTATTTATAACTACTGTTATTTGTCACCAGTATCATATGATTAATATAATATTACCTGATTAGAATTATATGCATAGCAAATAATAAAAATATGTTAAATTTACAAGTTTTCAATTATATTTCTAATCTTACTCTAAGTCTAAGTAAACATTTTACCACATTTTAATTTTAAATAAACATACCTTATCTAATTTTACCTAAGCTTCTTAAATCTATGTAAATATTTTAGTCATGTTTTTAATCCTAAATAAATATTCCTAATTTTACTAAATATTCTCTTTATTTCTGACTATATTTGCTTTATATTTTGTATAATTTCAGATATTATGACTTTTAACAAAATAATATTTACAGGTAGTTTTTTGAATATTTCCAACAGACATATTCTTTGATTCTTCAATAAATATAAGCAAGAAGGGTATGAGTGATATGGCTAAGGACACATATTTCCCATCTTTAGGTGGAACTTTATTAGATGATACAGTAGAAAAAGATGAAATCTTCGATCCTATGACTCAAGTATATCGGGACTGTCTATTTGAAAATAATACCTTCTATACCAAGAATATGGGAATGCATACAAAAAATTATGTAATATTACTAATCGAGTCAGAGAAGAAGGCATTATCCCAATCGATACAAAACGCTGGATTTGGTCAGATGGTATATCCTCCTTACTATTCGGACACTGGCATATTCAAGTATATAAAAAACTTCTTGAGCGTGGTACAAGTCATGAGGCAGCAGAAAAATAGCTATAGGGATCAGATTACCAGAAATATTAGAATAATATAGAATAGTTTAGTGATACTTAGGCATATATTAATAATAAATTATATTTTTTCTCAGTAATTAAAATGGAAGACGATCCAATTTATGATATACATAGTGAAGAATATATCGATGACCTTATACATGTCACAATTCAAAGAGGTCTCTTTAAAGATGTAGAGGATGCAAAAAAAAGTATAAAGACATTAGCTAAAATGGTCATAAGTTCTAAGACTAGTATTGATGCATTTATGAAATGCCCTGTATTAAATATTCCAAATGCCTTTTATGACTTAGTAGAGGCATTTTATTATTCAATACTAAGAGAAAGACAATCATTAGCACATGATATCTAACAGATTTCTGGGAGGTGACATATGACAAGATATTCCATGGAATTCTTCAGAATTCTTTGAAATTCCAAATTTTTTTTTTGTGATAAGAACTAATGTCTTTCAACCAGGCATACACTGAGCTATTAGTTATGTTACCAGCTTCTGTAATACATAAGGTATGGATTCGTCTCACAACACGGAAATGCAGTCCACTATCTGTATCTGATGCCAGTGAAGTAAATTCCATGGTAAAGTTATTTTTGAAACATGAAGTAGAAAGATACCAGAAAAAATTAGCACATCAGAGAATAACTGTTAAACAGACATATATGCCAAGAAACAGAATGACACAAGATATGATTAGTGAAGAGGTTGCCATACTTTAGAAGCGCTTGCTTGAATATAATAAGATTACTTTTGGCCGATTTATGCAGAATCTTACTAGGGAACATGAGAAATTGATCAAGACAAATCATCAGATATGACATGAAATTGATACCATGAAGAAGCAAGTACAAGAAATAGAAAAAAAACTTGCTTCTATGTCGTAGTTCCCATTATTCATCAAAAAATAGACTGAAATCTGCAGAATTGTCCCAACTTTTCCTTAGTCAAGAACAGGTTCTGTGCAGTATAGCTTAGTAAATAACATATAAATTTAACAAAAAATCAATATCCCTACTGTAAAAATCCAGAAAAAATCCATGGAATTGTCCCAACTTTTCCTTAGTTAAGAACAGATTCTGTACAAGCTGGTTTATCAAATAACATATTAATCATAAAAGTTTAACAAAAAAATATAAGAAGCAAGTCTAACAAAAATTTAGCAAATGCTCATCAGATATTGCACCCAAAATTCCGGCTAAGACTTAGGTATAGAATTAGCCAAAATAATTTTCCATTTATTCTGGCTGGCAATTATTACAATATTCCCTCTCATCCATTTTTATCAGAAGGAGGCATTCCTTGCAAAGAGTAATATTAAGAATTGCAAACGTATCTTTATGGGCAAGCATCATTTCTTCATAAGTTTTTTCTTGTGTCTCTGATCAAAGTTTTTCTCGTATTTTTGATCAAAGTCTTTCTTGTATCTCTAATCGAAGACTTTCTAATCGAAGCCTGGCATAAAACTAAATAACATAATAGCCTCTGATATGAACTGGGCATTGGCCACAAGTAGAAGCAGTTGGCTTACCACAATCAGGGCATTGTACTCGTTTCTTAGCTTTCCAATGAAAATGACACCCTTAGGGCGAATGCAAGCATTTCCATAAGCCTTTCCAGTATTGCAAAGATATGGCAGGAATATTCACCGATTATCCTATTTTTTATCATTAAATTCTGAAAGATTAATTAATAAATAGTTAATACTTCAGTTTCTCAATAGCCTAAAACCGTATTGGCAAGCCTGCAAATATTGGCAACTCTATAATCAAAAAGTGAAAGAATAGGAAATAATTAATTAAAGAAAAAATTTTGTAAGCAAGTAATAGCACACCAGTTAGATGTAAGCTCTGAATCTGGTCAATCTGGTCATCCTAGGATCAATCCATCTAATAGGCAGATTTGGATTGATTAGATAAGTCATTCAAATAAACCGAATAGATGACTGAATATCCGATCAATCCTATACAGAATCGACAAAAAAATTTCCTTTTTAGAAAATTTTATATTACATAACCGAAAACTAAATTTAGAAAAACTGGTTTTTTGTGGAATGGGCATCACCAAAAATGGAAATAATTGACATGCCCATGCATCACGTGACAACAATTAAATACCTAATCATAAATTCTGGCTAAAATCAAATGATCAGCAAAAAAATTCCTTTTTAGAATTCTTGTAAAACCCAAAATTTCATTTTTGCTAGGAAACAAAATTGCCTTTTCTAGATTTGTGTAATGTTACTCATACCCTAAAAGGATAATTCCATGCCGATTACTTAATTCTGGCTAGAATTATAATCAATCTGGTGCTCAAGAAGTTTTTGGGGCATTAAGCATTCATGACCACAACATTTACAGATTGTATCTTTTTTATCACTTCTTGTTTTTTTAACCATGGTGTTAGTTCTAACCAGCACTAGAGGTGCGCTCTGAATGAATCTGGTCAATCTGTCATCTGAATGATCACGTGACAGATCAATTTAGATTAAAAAAATCGAATCATCAGATTATCTGCGGATTGATTTTAAGCGAAAAAATCCATGCAAACCATTACAAAAGCAAAAGGAAGTAGCTTTTATTTAAACGCCAATTCAGGTGCCTATTCAAAAAGCTATTTAAGCTCCCAAAATCAAAGCACAGGTAGAAAGCTCTAGTGTAAATATGAGTAACAAGGAGAAGCCACATGTGGTAATCCCAACTCTAGTTCCTGAGCTAGAACTCGAAAAGGAAGTTTCAGTACTTGGTGTAGACTACATCACAAAAGAGGAGGCAAAGAACTGGATCAATCCAAATGCACGCAAACCCAAAGAGCGAATTAAGACATAAGGAGCAAGATTGCAAAAACGTTAGAAAGAATTAAATCTAGGTGTTGAGCCATATGAAGCAAATGATCTAGATGGTTGTAAAACCCTTTTCCATGATCTTGAACTAAATGATCCAGAGGTAGTTCATCTACCGATATTAAAAGAGTTAGAATCTGAAGGTGGTCCTGAACCTAAAACACAATTATTTAGAAAAGGTAATAATTCTAAGAATTTGATCAATAAAGAATTTGAGTGCTTAGGAGAAATTAAGGGGCATGAAAGGTCAGAGAAGAATTTAGAATTTAGGGAACAAGAAGAATTGGAACAGCAGTTAAAAGAAGAGCTATAGCCGTACATCGTGCAAAAGTTCTCAAATTCCATCCAGATAATAGTAGTGATATACGAAAAATGTTAAAGAGTAAAAGAAAGCAGCAGTTTAGAGAAATACTTGAAAAGGAATTTGATAAGCGTGAACAATTTAAGTTCGCTCTATGTTCTCTTACTAAATTTCTTATAGATGATAAACCTGGAAATGAAAAACAGGGAAAAAAGAATTTACGAACTGACTGGCTTAAAAATAAGCAAATTATAGTTTATAATAGAAATGAAATAGATGATTACTTAAGCAATGCTTTCGAACAAATTCTTTACCAAGTGGAAGAGAAAGGAGGTAAATCTAATACTTAAGTATCCATTGAGGGGGTAATTGCACATCTTTTACAATTTGGAGTTCTTCTCTTACAAATGAGCATCTAAGACCCTTGTAAAGCTTATAGAGAATAGGCTGATTTTCTTTTATCAAATAAGAATCAATTGTAAAAACTTCAGGAGACCAATTGCAATCAGTTGCCCTTCTTCTACCACCTTCTAATTCATCAGGTTCTAATAGATGTCAAACTTCAGTATAGCTAGGTAAAAGTGGTTCATTATAACCAACTGGTCTCCTATGTTCGACAGAAGGTCTAGCTATTATTTTTTTACCTTTTAATGCCTTTTTTACAGCCTCGTTAGGAGACATACCTATTAACCAAGTAGGAGTATTATTGTAAATATCATCATTTATACAAAGTCCCTTAACCCATGCTCTGGATCTATTAGTCAAAGGCAAATAAAAATCTTCAGCATTTTGCCAAAAATAAGTATGCTTTTCAAATTCTTGATGGTCACGTTCAGCAATAGCTACACTACGTTTAGAATTAGCGTACTGAATTTTTACACCATGAGAAAGTAATAAATCCCTACACTCATCCAAAAATTCAGCATATGGGCTGATCAGAACCCCGAACAATATATATAAAGGTAGGTTTTGAGTTTGCTTAACCAACATATAAAAATTTTTCCTATGTGAGATTTATTATTGCTTATTTGATAACATAATTTTTAAATAGTCAGATATAATTATGCATAGCAGAGTATTAAATTATTAATAGTCAGATATATATTTGCGTAGCAGGATAGAATTTTTTAATATATATATATAATATAATATATATTTATTTTCACATTAAAAAAATCTAATAAAAATATATAAACAAAGTTATAAACATGTTTGTATAAAAAAAATTTACTATTTTTAATACAAAGAATAAGTTAATTGTATACGTAATACAGGGAACATTTTTAGACGTGATCGTGTAACGTGTTTTTGATAAAACAAATACGCGTCCGCGTAACATTAAAATTATAAATCATATACGCGTCTGTGTAACATTTAAAAAATATATATTGAAAATAAGAGCAAGAAAAATAAGTGTTTTTCTGTTTTTTTATAATTTTACACTATAATTTTTGTAATAATCAATAAAAGTTATTTCATTTTTACTTAGAAAATTTTTTAAAAATATTTTTTTTGACAAATTTTACAGTAAATTTTAAAAATAAAAATTCCGCGTATTGGTGGCGTTACAAAAAACATGAATAAATCCATAAATATCTATTCAATCATGATAAAAATTTATATGTAAGTAGATTCGAACCTGCTGAACAACTTTACTTAAGAAGGTTTTGGATGTTTCCTTTGACTAAAGTGC